ACCACCACCACCACCACCACCACCATCCCCACCAGCTTTGTCAGTCAATGTGCCCAATCTCAACATCAACTGTCTGACAGGCTCGGACAATCGAGTGATTCAGGGTGTAGGCAGGAGAGAGTGAGGCCGGACCTGCTGACTCTGTCCCCACGGAACAGTACCAGCCATCTCATTATAGCAAATCTGACGCGCGGGAATCTATCACAACGAGCTTGACCTTGCGGCCAGGTAAGTTGCCAACTGACGATACAACTGGAAACGCGGTCGACCTCAGGTGGAGTGGTCGATTGGTGGACTGTGAGTCAGGCTCAATGGCTCAATGGCACTCTCCCATATGCGTGATCCCAGTCGAGTACGCCCTTTGCGTGAAGATCTGACGTGTTGCGCTAGTAACCAGGTAATGTGTAACACATGAAGACTGTCATCCAGCTGCGCCCACTCCCCTCATAAGGTGCCAAACCGGCTCAGTCAATGGACATGTGCCTGAAAGAGAGAGAGGTCGCTAGAGCCGTAACTTGGACGGCTGATCCTCATTCTAGGAAGGAGAGTCCGGCTGCAATGGCTGCTTCATAATGCGGCCCCTATGACAGTTTTACTCTGTTCAGATCTGAGCCGCCCCTGGCTTCTTTGTAATGAAAACCTGGTTCATCGTACGCTGACCTGGTGTTTAATGAATGCGACAGTATGGGAGATACAGCACAGGTCGACCATCACCATAAACTACATCACGTGCAATCAACCGTCCCTGCGCGCTCACTTTGCTTATGTGTCGTGGCATTCGAGTTCCCGGGGTCAAAATTACACCCAATCTTCCCTCCCTGATCACAGTTCGACTGTCGTTTCCGACGCCGTCCACCGTGTTCTCCACTGCCAATTGAGATCAGGGCGGTGACATGTGCGTGATTTAGTTTATAGTGAATGAAGACTTGCTCAGCATCTACGGCACTCTTTCCTCCTCCCCACCTGGACCCAATGTCAAGACAGAGTCAAAAAGATCGGAGGCGGGAGAGGTCGCAGGTGAATGGAACGGTCGAGCTCGCACCTTAGCTCTCCACTCCACATCCTGCGCGCACACTTTGCTTATGTGCCGTGAGATTTGAGTTCCCAGGGTCAAAATTACACCCGGTTCCCTCCTTCAGACAATGCTAGTACGTCGGTTTCGGTGATGATGATGATGATGATGATGATGATCATCATCATCATCATCATCATCATCATCATCATCATCATCATCATCATCATCATCATCATCATCATCATCATCATCATCATCATCATCATCATCATCATCATCATCATCATCATCATCATCATCATCATCATCATCATCATCATCATCATCATCATCAATCAGGATTGCCAGTGGCGGCAGTCCCCTCCGGGCCCACACAATGACAACTTTAAACATACAGGATTACCGATGCCACAATGAATTCTATTGCTATTATTGGACAGGGATAGTTGGCCCAAGGACAAAGGCCTCATTCTCATAAAAATCCGACCTTTTAATTGTTAGCCAAAGCGAGTCATCGACGGCGATGTCGGTAAGAGAGCTCGCCGACAAGAAGAACAACAGCAATGCTAGAAAGATTTGCAACAGACCTCCGGCGACCTACATGAACCCCTACGAGGACCGTCCGGCCTGAAGAAGAGCAGTGAGGACCAGAACAGTTGTCTAAGAGGCCAACCGGATGGCCTCTGCCAACGCAAAGAGGGAAGCTCGCAAGTCTCATACACCACTGGCATTAATAGAAAGCATGCCGCTTGTCTCCATCTCAACGCTGCTTCTATTACACTCCGCCACATGTGAGAACAGAGAGGTTTACCCCCATTTTGTGAAAATCCGGTGACTTGAGGAGGAGCAGAACCGTATAAGAAGAAGAAAATTGGCTCTCCGGAACAGGTTTATTTAACTGCTGACGTTTCAAAGAGCTGGGTCGGCTCTTCATTGTCAAAGCGTAAACTGCACCTAATCGGTCAGAAAGTTAACTTAAAGTGGCAAGCTGTGTTGGCCGGCCTCATGCTGATCGATTTTTCTCTCTCCTCACGCTGCGTCGGCCTCTCAGGAAATGGTTGACGGGCGTTTTTGCCTGTGCACTTTATGAGTCACCACTCCGTCGAGGGGAGCTGATTGGACTTTAGTCGGGCGGTCGGTCTGGCGGTTCTTGTTCTTCCTCACCGAGTAAGCTCAGCGTCGGGCTATCTCCGTGCTGTCTTCTTAAGTCCGGTGTGGTTGTTTGGTCCTGAGCTCTACGGTTGTGATGACGTAGGACTTTGTAAGCCTAATGCAACCTAAAGACCCATTGCCACCCGCTGAAACCTCAGCAGTCATCTACAAAATAAATTGCAATGAGGGCGACTGCAACTATGTGGGCGAAACTGGGCGGAAATTGCAAACTCGCCTACAAGAACACAAATCGGCCACTCGGAGGTTAGACCCTAACTCTCAACTAGCAACACACGTTGGGGAAACGGGGCATACTTTTGACCTCCAGAGGGCTACCATCTTAGGCCGAGGCAACACAAAAACAGAACGGCTAACTCTCGAGGCGTGGTTCTCCGATGCCCACTCTATCAACAGGCATCTGGACCTTCCTGCAGCTTACAAAGTCCTACGTCATCACAACCGTAGAGCTCAGGACCAAACAACCACACCGGACTTAAGAAGACAGCACGGAGATAGCCCGACGCTGAGCTTACTCGGTGAGGAAGAACAAGAACCGCCAGACCGACCGCCCGACTAAAGTCCAATCAGCTCCCCTCGACGGAGTGGTGACTCATAAAGTGCACAGGCAAAAACGCCCGTCAACCATTTCCTGAGAGGCCGACGCAGCGTGAGGAGAGAGAAAAATCGATCAGCATGAGGCCGGCCAACACAGCTTGCCACTTTAAGTTAACTTTCTGACCGATTAGGTGCAGTTTACGCTTTGACAATGAAGAGCCGACCCAGCTCTTTGAAACGTCAGCAGTTAAATAAACCTGTTCCGGAGAGCCAATTTTCTTCTTCTTATAATCTTCCCGGATCTCTAAACTTTTCCAATCTGAGCAGAACCGTATTTTGTAAGAGTGTACTGGCTATTTTAATTATGTCAGCCACACCTGATTAATCTCAGCACCAGATAGTTAAAAGACACCGACGTACTAGCATTGTCTGAAGGAGGGAACCGGGTGTAATTTTGACCCTGGGAACTCAAATCTCACGGCACATAAGCAAAGTGTGCGCGCAGGATGTGGAGTGGAGAGCTAAGGTGCGAGCTCGACCGTTCCATTCACCTGCGACCTCTCCCGCCTCCGATCTTTTTGACTCTGTCTTGACATTGGGTCCAGGTGGGGAGGAGGAAAGAGTGCCGTAGATGCTGAGCAAGTCTTCATTCACTATAAACTAAATCACGCACATGTCACCGCCCTGATCTCAATTGGCAGTGGAGAACACGGTGGACGGCGTCGGAAACGACAGTCGAACTGTGATCAGGGAGGGAAGATTGGGTGTAATTTTGACCCCGGGAACTCGAATGCCACGACACATAAGCAAAGTGAGCGCGCAGGGACGGTTGATTGCACGTGATGTAGTTTATGGTGATGGTCGACCTGTGCTGTATCTCCCATACTGTCGCATTCATTAAACACCAGGTCAGCGTACGATGAACCAGGTTTTCATTACAAAGAAGCCAGGGGCGGCTCAGATCTGAACAGAGTAAAACTGTCATAGGGGCCACATTATGAAGTAGCTATTACATAATCGTATTTTGAAAGCGTATAATGGCTGTTTTAATTATGTCAGCCACACCTGATTAATCTCAGCACCAGGTGGTGAAAAGATATTGGCGTACTAGTTTTCTCTGTGAGGGGGATGCAGGGGTGGCCGCGGTGGGTCCAAGTGCCCGTCGCAGTATGTCGTTCACTTGCTTGCAGGTATAGACTACGCCTAGCGTCCATTTACGGGCCCAAACTCTCACATGTGGCTCCCCGAAGCTAGGCTCTGCCTAGCGGCCACACCCCCATAACCACCTCGACCGGCCGGCTAAACCAGGTGAAAGTATCCGTGACTGCGTCTTCGCACACTGTAACTCGGCTCCACTGGCCGGATGAATCACCGCCTCGGTATCTCCGAGACGGGACTCCATCTGTAACACCGCAGGAGGCCACAAGGTAAGTGAGCCCTATGGTAAGCAGACATTGCTCTACCGTCTTTGCCTTGCTTTTTCTTGCTTGCTTTATTTTTGTCTGCTTGTTTGTGTTTGTCCTTGTTGTAAAGTAAATGCCATTCCGTTGGATGTCCTGTGTCTGCCTTCGTTTCTGTTTATTCTTGCTCGACTGCCCTTTGCCTGCTTGTTTCTGTTTGTCCTTGTTGTACTATAACTACCGTTTTTTTGAACCTCTTCGCTTACCGCTTATATATTTCAGGAACCAGTTCGCTTAGAGAAGAACAGGAAAGCTCCGCTTCCCGTCTCTATACCCTACCTCTTCCCCCTCCCCCTTAAAGTCTTACAGCAATGTTGTAGGCAGGCCCAGGCTAACTCGGGTCGTTCTTCCATTAAAGAAAATTTGTGGCTCCTAGTGGAGTTCAGCAGCCGTCTGGGACAATTTAGCAGTCCTATGCAGGGAGGGCACTGCTCACCCCCGCGAGGGGGAAGGGGCTAGAAAAGGTGCCCTAAACAAATACTGGAGACCCACGCTGTCTGAAGACTGACCGTGGTCTCAGACGCAAAACTCAGCGTTGAAACAATCAAACAAAAACAACACTCTCACTCTTCTCCCTCGCCTCTCCACAGCCCCACTCGCCAGACAGGTAGGGTGAGTCCGCTCACTCGGGCAGCCTGGAATGTTCATTCCTCTTTAGACAATCCGAGGACCAACTGACCGGGACGGAGGACGGCGCTAGTGGCTCTGGGAATTGGCGCGCTACAGTAAAACCCGGTTCTCCGAACAAGGCCAGCTGGAGGACGCGGGTGCCGGCTACACCTTCTTCTGGAGCGGTCGTCCCAGGGCAGAGCGACGGGACGCGGACGTCACCTTTAACATCCGGAATGACATCGTTGGACAACTGCACTGTCTGCCGCAAGGTATCAATGATCACCTGATGAGCCTCCGCCTGCCTCTCCAGGGAGGCAAATTCTCCACCATCGTCAGTGTCTACGCTCCCCAGATGAACAGTCCTGACGAGGGGAGGAACAGATTCTACAAGGACCTGCATGCCCCCCCCCTGGCGTCTGTGCCGAAGGCGGATAAGTTGATTGTCTTTGGTGAATTCAACTCTCGCGTCGGCACAGACTGTGCTGCCTGGAGAGGAATGCTGGGTCCCATGGTCTCGACGGCTCCATTGGCAATGGCCTGCTCCTACTACGAACCCGTGCAGAGCACCAGCTCCTCCTGACCAGCATCTTACTCAGCCCCCCGATGCGAGAGAGGGCCACCTGGATGCACCATCGGGCGCGGCACTGGCACCTTCTGGGCAGTGTCCTCGTCCGGAGGTCAGACCAACGGAACGTGCTAGTGACGAAGGCGATCCCGGGTGCCGACGGGTGGACCGACCATCGTCTCATCATCTCCAAAATGCGGATTCGCCTACAGCCTCGCAGGAGACCTTAATGCAAGCGACTCCCAGATAAGCTGGATATTGCTTGTTTGTCTTTGTTTGTTCACCACCTTCGGGCTAGCTCAACGGCTAGCCAGCCTTCCAGTGGCCGCCGTTCCCGCGCTGCCGAGAACGTCTCCGTGGAGAACCGATGGTGTCAACTGCGGGACACAGTCCAGTCAACCGCCCTGGCTGTCCGCGGCCACGCACGATGCCAACACCAGGACTGGTTCGATGACAACGACGCCGCCATCAGCAACCTGATTACCGAGAAGAACCGCCTGCACAAAGCCTACATCACTCGCCCCACCGACGACAACAAAGCAGCCTTCTACCGTAGTTGTCGCCTTGTGCAGCAGCGGCCGCGGGAGATTCGAGACGCTTGGACGGCTCTCAAGGCCGACGAAATCAAAGATTACGCTGATCGCATTGAATGGAAGAATTTCTTTTCCATGATCAAGGCTGTCTACGGTCCGCCAACCAAAGGCACTGCATCTCTTCTAAACGCCTACGGCAGTACCCTACTCACCGAGAAGGCACAAATTCTGCAGCGATGGGCAGAGCACTCTAGAAGCGCCCTCAACCATCCCTTCACCATCTCTGACGCCGCAATCCCCCGTCTGCCTCAAGTGGAGACCAACGCCGACCTTGACTTCCCACCCTCCCTCCACGAAACCATCAGGGCCGTGCAGCAGCTATCCAGCGGGAAAGCGCCAGGAGCTGACACGTTTTCTGCTGAGATCTACAAGCACGGTGGCCCGCAACTCATAAATCTTCTGATTACGCTCCTCCAGGAGATGTGGCGTCAAGAAGTCCCACAGGCCGCCAAGCACGTCACAGTCGCCCATCTCTACAAGCGGAAAGGTAATCGCCAGCTCTGCAGCAACCATCGAGACATTTCCTTCCTGAACATCGCCGGGAAGTACTTCGCCTTTATCCTCCTCAACCGCCTGAACAACCACCTAGAACAAGGTCTCCTGTCGGAAAGCCAGTGCGGCTTCCACCGTCATCGTGGGACCACGGACATGATCTTCGCCGTCAATCAAATGCAGGGGAAGTGTTGGGAGATACGGACTCACGTATACTCTACCATCGTGAATCTGATTAAAGCCTTCGACACGGCGAATCCCGAAGAACTTTGGAAAATCATGCACAAATTGGGTTGTCCTGAGCGATTCGCCCAGATCGTGCGTCAGCTCTACGATGACATGATGGCGCGACTCACAGACAACGGAGCTGTCTCAGAGGCATTCGCAGTGACCAACAGAATGAAGCAGGCCTGAGTCCTCGCGCCTACCCTCTTCGGTATCATGCTCTCTGCCTCGCTGATGGATGCCTACCGTGACAAATGCCCTGGGATCCGCATCGCCTACAGGACGGACGGCCACCTCTCCAGCCACTGGAAGATGAATTTCCAGTCGCGTGTATCCACAATGACTATCCCCGAACTTCTCTTCGCCGACGACTGCGCCTTCAACGCCACCTCGGAACGGGCCATACATAGGAGCATGGATTTCTTCGCCGCTGTCTGCGACAATTTCGATCTGGTCACCAACACGGAGGAGGTAGTCGTGCACCAACCGCCACCCGACGCTGCCTACGTCGCAACCCAAGTCAACGTGAACGCCACTCAACTGCAACTCACAGATAACTTCACCTACCCGGGCAGCACTCTCTTCCGCACCACCAAGATCGATGCTGAAGTGGCCCGCCGGATCACCAAGGCTAGCGAAGCCTTCAGCCGTCTGCAAAACACAGTCTGGAATCGCCACGGTCTCCACCTCAACACCAAACTGAAGTTGTACAAGGCGGTCATCCTGCCAACGCTGATGGATAGGGCGGAGACCTGGATGGTGCACAAATAGCAGGCTTGAAGACTCAATCATTTCCACCCCAACTGTCTTCGACGGATACTGAAGTTGAGGTGACCAGACCGGATCCCGAAAGCGGATATACTGGAGCGGACGGGAATCCTCAACATCTACGTCATGCTGAGATTGCTGCAACTGAGTTGGAGCGGCCAACTCGTGCGGATGGAAGACGAGCGGCTACCCAAACGACTCTTCTACCGAGATGTCGCTACGGGTTCCCGCCGACAAGGAGGTCATGTCCGTCGCTACACGGACACTCTGAAAACTTCCCTGAAGAGTTTGCAGATCAACCTGGCCAACTGGGAAGACCTCGAACGAGACCGACCGACCTGAAGGAAGGTCGTGAAGACGGGCGCAGCGATCTATGAAGCCAATTGCACCACCGCGGACAAAGTCCAACGCGGGGCTTACAAATCCCAACTGTGCCCATCTCGAAACAATAACGCTTACCCATCACCGACCTGCACACACTGCCAGCCGACATTCCGAGCACCAATCGGCCTTGTGGGACATCTTCGTACCAACTGCAGCAGCTGGACTACACCAACTGCTGTCTCCTCGCCCACCTCTGTTTCATCCTCCACACCGACTACTAACATTGGCCGCGCTCCCGAA